AGGGACCCCGAATGTAACCAGATCTGGACGGGTTGTCAGACCTCGTGCTTAAGGGAAAAGGAGCGAGAGGTGTGAGAGGCAGTAGTTGATAGTAGAAACTATATGGCGCACGTGTGGTGCAAAGCCCGAGCTATCCATCTCCACACGCTTCTATCTGTCCTCCGACGCCGTGGCTTTCCTGACTCGCAGCTGATTGCACTGAACAAGAAAGTGCAGAGCCTTCGTCACGCACATCGCGTCTCTCTCCAGCACCGGCCCTATGTTCGGATCCCGACGAACTTCGCTTTTCCACAATGCCTTCAAACTGATTGTGTGTTTCCTTACGCCCTTCGTCGGACCCCCACCTTCACCAGACCTCGTACGTGCGTGTGGACCTCCGTTGCATCTCGGGTTCCGATGACCGCACAAGTGCGGATTCATATTGCTCTGTCATTTTTTCTCGCGGCCTCATGCGACAACGGCCCGTGTCCGCCCTTGCCCAGACGACTCATTTCGTCCGCGCTCGGATGTGGGCGGACTTCGCCTTCTCAACCAGCCTGTCGGAAGTTCGCCGACATCCGAACTACGCGAACACGTCTTTCTCTGTCGGAACTTCATGCACCATCTGCCTCGGAACTTCAAGGTCGGACCCTGTCACAATGGCCCATCAACATTTGCTGAAGTCCGCCAGAATCCGGACATCGCTCATGATACATATTCTCCGATTGTAAAGCGATCTTCTATAGTAACCACTTGTCCGTTTATGAGAAACGTGGGCAATCTTCACCTCCGATGGACAAAGTTTGCCGGAATCCGAACTTCTAACATATGCTGTAAAAAGTTCTAAAGCTGCCCGTTTGCGTGCTAACTGTCGACAACCACCATTCCCCTCTACGCTGTTCGCTCGCCGCCAGTGCACCTGCTTTTCCCTTTGCGGTGTTTTGCTTTTCTATTTGCCTGGATTGTAGTCCGTCGGTATCCGAAGTTCTTCATTTGCTGATTGTTGGCGGTGTCGTTTGTTTTCGAATGCATCCTCCGCTACGTCTGGTGCAGACACAATGTCTACGTCAAGAGGCGAGAAGCAGCCTACGGGGACCTCGGGGAGGAGGTCGACGAACGCAAAATCATGGTCGAATCATGCGCACACGAAGTGGTTCGTCGATTGGTGCTTCGCCGAAGATGACGAGCCCATGAAACCGCCTTGCGGTCCTGTCATCTTCGTGGAAGATAGAAAAGGACGAAGAGTGCTCGGCTCGGTCAAGGGATGGCAGCCATCGAAAAACGACGACAAGCAGTGCTACCTGATGCATGTCATTCACAATTCGAAGGGCGACGTTCTGGCAGGTGCGAAAGGGGCGATTCTCTCGTGGGATCTGTTCCAGGGGTTTGGTGGGGGGCCTTTGAGGACCCCTTTCTACACTGAAGTCGCGGAGGGAGGTCTTGTTTCGGCCAGGGAGTTTTTTGACGAGGTCGAGAGGAGCGACTTCAACCTCGACGATCCCTGCCAAATTTCGAGCGACCTGGAACTGTTGCTTCCTATGCAAATGTGCTCCGGGTTCGTTTCCAGTGGTTCAGTACAGCCCCGACAGGGTGAGGAAATGGGTCTCGGTGGTTTAGTACAGCCCGGGTAGGGTGAGGAACGAGGTCGCTTCGATGACAGCGAGGAGGAAGAAGAGGAGAACACGCGAGTTTCGCCGCATAGACTCGGAGATCGCGGGACGCTGAGAATTCCGGGGGCTGAGAGAGGGGCAACAGCCGTCGAGCACCCGTCGACGTCGGGTCGCGGTCGCGCCTTGGGGTGGGAGGACAGGACAGTTGGCATCGTTTCCGGCGGGGAGGGAGGGGAACAGCAGTCTACACAAAAGAGAAGGGGAGGTTCTGAGGGGGAGGTGACGGGAGCTAAAAAGAAGCAGAAGACAAAGACCCCACAACAGTCAGGGGGGAAAAGGAAAGGAGTTGAGGGGCATGCCAGAGCTGAGGGGCATGTCGAGTCAAAAGCGCCTGGCCTCGGCTCAGAAGCCACCCCAGTCGGCGCCTGTCCAGCCCAGAGGTGTCATCGACATCGACGCGACATACTTCTTGGAATGGAAAAACGGTGTGCGAACAAAGCGGGAGTTTGCCATTAACCCGTCGCAAGTCGTCGACATCGGCGAGTGCGAGGCGGCATACAACCAGCGTTCCTTGGATCCCGTGCAAATACAGGTCATTATTGACGCAATGACGATGACCTACTCTTAGACCGAGAAGACTTACGAGCTGCGGGCACTAAAGCTCGCGCCTCTCGGGCTGGTTAAACCGACGCCCGGGGTGCGGGCGGATCGTCTGAAGTCGGAGGACTGGGAGGACGAGCTGGCAGGGCAATACTACTACTACGCTGTGGCGGGCCAGCATAACGCGGCTGCGGCCAGCGCGCTGCATGGCACCGATGTGGCGGTGAGGTACAACTTCTAGCGCTGGCCTGCACGAATGGTGTACTTCTCGGACGATGACTTTGAGGGGTACTTTCTGGTCAGCGCCGAGGACAACAAGAAAGACCTGAAGGCCCCTCCGAGACAGCTGAAACTCTCCATGAGAGACATTCG